TTTACAAAAAAAATATAAAAAAAAAAAAAAAAAAAAAAAGAAAAAAAAAAGAACAAGCAACCTCTTGATCAATTCAATTGGGATTTTGCTTAAAGAAGAAGGAACAAATTATCGAGACAAATTTCGATCAACTTGTTTCCGACCGGCTAACACACGGCTAACGCCGTATCGATTTTTTTTATTTCTATTTACAAAGTTATCTCGACGGAATATCGTAATTTTTCTCACGATATGGAATAAATATGTTTAGGTAAATATCTTATTACATACATATATATAATATATATATATATATATATATACATACATATATATATATGTATATATAAGATAAATATCACTTTTTTTCCTAACGATTTTTGTTCTACTTTTCGAAATGCAAAATTTTAATTATTTCGCAGTCAACGTTACGTATAAACAAACGTGTATGTGTTTGTGTGTGTATGTATTTAAACTTGATTGACAAAATAATTTTACACTATAATTTTACAAGTAACTTCCTCTAAAAATTCGATTCCAAAAGTCAGTTTCGGAAGTGATGAGTTTGTAAAAAAAAAAAACCTTCACTCAGACTTTTGACGCGAGAATATTTTTCCATGCTAATTTTTCCGTGTTATATTTATGTTATCGTTCACATCATCCACATACAGTGTATAGTGTTCTATAAATCTAGCAAAAATCATTAAACGACGAAAGCAGCTCGCCCACATTTGCGAGCCTTCAACAAGACTGAGAAGATATAACAAATTTTTATAATTTCTATTATTTTCATTAACGTTTCGAGACAACAAGTGAACATTATTGGTACGTCCCAGTGGTAAAGAGAGTGTAAGTTCTTCTTATAAAAAATATCTTGTTAAGAAAAAAAAAAGAAAAAAAGAAAAATCAACAAAAAAGACGCCATTTTTTCGCGATAAAAAGCGTGTCAATATATATCTAAAGAAAAGAACAAATAACTTCGAGTCCTCTATTCACCTCATGATGAATCAGAAAAGCGTACGAATTTTTCTCGCGATTGTTTTTATATAGATTCATACCTATACAACTATTTTCGCTGATTTATGCCATTTATAATGTTTACGAAAAAAATCTTTTTTAACTTATGCGTATTCAAATACAATATATTTAGTTAGGCGATTAGTTTTTTCTTTTGTTGCTTATTATTTTACATCTCTACGTTGTCTTTCAGATAAAGATAGCACTTCACTGTTTGTACATGAAACACTCGCACGGATAAACAGTGTCCGGTAATTCACGTCACATCCCACGTACGATACCGTTTTACGTTTACGAGTTCACTCTTTTTCTCTATATATATTTATATACATGTATATGCCATAAAATATGAAAAACAAAGCGTAAATACGAAAAAATTTGAATATATACACTTCATCGCTTTCACATATCCGCGGCGCAATTGCTCATTATTATTCATGCTTAAACTTCTTTGCTTGCCCTCAAAATGTAAGGTACACACCATATAAGCAATGTGAGAAGCGTTAAATGAAAATAATTCCTGCGACCACCCGTTGCCACACGCGAAGGACTTTAAATATCAAGTAAATACATAATCTTACACACTAAATCACGCGTCCAAAAGTGAAATGTATCATCATATAGATTTTGTTTTGTTTTTTTTTGTTTTTATAAATTATATGCTCAACGGTAACAAATCAAGATTGCGCAGATTTACGATCTTCCTCGAGAATGCAATTTCTCTTTGTTTTCTTTCAGATAAATTTGTCAAATAAATTCTGACTGCCGTCAGAATTGACGAGAACACCGCTCAAATTTTCTTTGAAAAGCGAATCAATGTTTTTCATTTTCTCGTCGAATTACACGGGTGCAAACCCGCGCGCGTTTTTGTTAATTTTTTTGTTTTGTTTTTTGTAATCATTCAACTGTTCATTTCTGAGAGGTAGACGAACCCTCGGTCTTCCTTACCACAGATTTACTTGTTTCGGGTTTGCTCGTTTGGATTCTTTCTCTGGCAGTGGTTTGGGATTTGCTTGCTTCATGAGGCATCGTGTAGGAACCGGAATTGTGTCTGCTTCGAGACTGTTGCTTGTTGTGATCTTGTCGCGATCCGCTCGACGGCGCGGAATCGTTTCTCCGTCGGGAATAACAGAGTCTACCGGAACCGAAGGAACCGGCTCTGATTCGGAATTGCGACAAATTTGCGGTTTCTAAGCGCGATTTTTGCGCGAAATTATTTTCAGAGTACATTTCGTTTGCAATCCGAATCGGCAGTGTAACTGCACTGCAGCCTCCCGAGAGTCTGCGTTCTCGGCTCGACAGCAAGTCTTCAGCGCCGGCACTCTCGGAAACGCTTCTGAGACGCCTTTTCGCGGCATTTCGTGCGTTTGATTGGAAGATATCGTGTATTTGAGGCTATACAGGAAAATAACTCAAATAATATTTGCTCGTTATTTTGCTAGAGAATTTTTTTTTTTCTCTGTATTATTTTACAGAGAAAAAAAAAGATTCTCTAGCAAAATAACGAGCAAATCACTTCTTTTGTTTTTGCGTGTGTAATTGCATAACATTTATTTAGAAAAAAATTCTTGCAATTCTTCGATACTCACTTCTACACGGAAGTCTTCAATACTCTTGTATTTTGACAAATATTCTTGCAATTCAGGATCTACTTGAAGCTGATCGGAATTCTTGTAATATTTCAAAAATGCCCAGAATTTTTCCAATCCATACAGCTGACCTAAATGTTTTAAATAATTCATCGATTAGGATTATTTTTTTTATTTGCAGTAGTCTGGTGTAAATAAAACGATTTTATTTCGCAAAAAATAATTTATGAATGAGAATGTTCTTAAAATATCGTGCTGTCTGTCTCTAAACTTCCATTCACAGGACAAAAATGTCCTCCTGGTGTCAGCTGAACAACCCAATTACTTTTGCACAAATCACCGTTTAACTACGTGCTCATAGCTAAACAACCTATATTTGTGCCAGCGTGACGACAAAAATGTGCACGAGTGAAATATCAGAAAAAAAAAAAAACGTACCGCTCTTATAATCGTTTATCGTTTCTACTTGGAAATCTTCATACAGCGCAGGTCTAAATTTCTTTTCTAGGCCGTAACTGTAAAATCTGAAAAGGCACTCCAATCCGTATCGATATCCCGCGCATGCATCCTCTTTGGCTAATATTCTGAACTCGTCGTACATGGTGCGATTGAAGTTTTCTCGCAAGAAGAACGACCAGAAACGGAAAAGCGTGTTCATCTCTTGCGACTGTCCAATACCTAATCGTTTGCGATCTGTAAAAAAAAAAAAAAAAAACATCGTATAAATAACAATTTTGATTAAATATCGTGAGCTATCGTTCAACTTTGTATCGTCTCAGATAAAAGCGTTTCCGCACATTTCTCTCAGTCGGGAAAAGAAGACATTAAGAAAGATTTTCATCATTTTACCAATAAAGCTTGAATCGAGAAAATACAATATTGCAATATTTGTGCTGAACCGTACCTTTCAGACAACGCGAGTGATATTTGTGATATGCCAATTGAGTGAATCCATTGTCTTTCAACAGAGCATGACTCGGATGTTCGACGAAACTGGGCATGCTGCCGCAGTTGTTCGCGAGATAACCTTCATTTGGACTTGTACCGGCGCTGCTCCTAAAGTATAAAATTGAAGAATGTAGACGCAAATAATTAAATCATATGTTTTTGGTTTTATTAATCAGAGTCATTCAGTTATAAAATCTTTCTGCACGATTTTCTTAGTCGGGAAAAGAAGACAAATATAATACATATATATCATCATATTATATTCCACACTTGTAAAACAAACAAAAAAAAAAAAAAACAAAAATTCTACATACCCAGTAGAATATGTTCGTTGACGACGATGTTCTCGAACGTCCATAACCCAGCCTACATGATGCTCCACAGGAGGATTGGCGCTGTAACGAGTTTTCTTTTTACGCGGTGTTTTCGGATCAACGGACGGTCTATCTTTCGTAACAGCGAAGAAACGAGGCGCGACGCTTCTCTGTCCTCCCTTCGCTCGTGATCTTTCGTTCCAGTGGTTTTTTTCCGGTCTGTGATCCTTTTTATCTTGATTTGTGTTCGAATGCTGTTCGATTTCAATCTCTTGTTATGTAAATGTTTCTTTACAGATTATGGATTTGACAAAACTTGTGAAATACATACCTGCGACGAAGAAGCGGCCGACTGAGAAATTTCTATATCGTCTATAGCGGAAGGTGGTGGAGGTGGCACTTCTGGATTCGCTTTTCTCTGAACTTTTGGTGCCATTTTTTCGAAATCTTCCTGACTAACAACGTTGATCTTATAGCTTCCAATGGACGAGGAAGAACCATACTGTGATAATATTAATTTTTCTTTTTTTAAAAAACAATAAAATGCGCGTGAGTCTTAATTGTATGCGTAAAATCGTAAAAGTCAAACAAGGCGATTTGCTAACACAATCTAATGCTGGTTTGTGATTGGTTTGTTTTACGACTGCGATTGCAATATATAACTAATATTTTAGAGTCTTCAAAATTACATATATATATATATATATATATTTTAAATAAATGTAGAATCATACTCTCTGATTTGAATCTTGTTTCTTTAATTCCTCTTGATAATAGTGTAATCCGTCGTTAATTCGCTGTTCCATTTCCTGAGTTATCTTTACCCTTGTAGTCCAAATTCCCGTTCTATCATAACCTTCATGTTTGGGAATTCTAGATGACAACAAACTGGTTTGTGTGAGAACCAGTAGTTTATCAATATCTCTATCTGATAGTTCGTAATCCTCATCATTTTCGGATTTGTAAGTTTGCGTTTCGTCGTCGTTGTCAGTCCTAAACGTTCGCAGTTCTTCGTCATCTTCGGACCTGTAAGGAATTACAAAGTTTTACGAATTTGGATCAGAAACATCTGAACAATAATTTTCGCGTTAAATTTCGATTTAAAAAAAATTCAAATACTTCAAAAAATATTTAATAGTCGTACAATTTACAGAAATTTACATTTTATTATTTCTTTTATATTTGAAACTTACCAAATTGCATATTCAAAATACCAAGTGTTTTTTTTTGTTACTTAGTTTAATAATACTAATATATAATACTTAATTTAGATATTAAATATAACATATATTTGAATATATTGAGTTTGAAAATAAAATTTGTATCAACTTGTTGCACATTGATACACACGCTTGATACGCATACGCACACGCACACGCACAAAAGAAATACAAAATCAAATTTGTTCCAATTAAAAGTACGTTAGACATATGTTAATAGGAAAAACAGTTGAGAAGAATTGTGGAAAAAGGGACTTATTGTGCTGAGTTTTTTTTTTAGAGGAGTGTTAACATTGTATATACACATAAATTGTCTTTTTGTATGCTATCATTAAGATCACTTTAATTTCACACAAATAAAAATCAAACTGTCAAAAGTGGATTTAGGTATAACAAATCTCATTATTCGAATAATCTGTATATAAAGTTGTAAGTCCTGTGTGTCTGTTTCTATATGTGTAATGTTTCATTAAAATACTACTTTAACTCCACCAATAGCGGACTTTAGTAGAAAAATTTTGACTTATGATTATTAAAAACATTCGGAACAAAATTTTGTCCAAATATGCTACTAAATATACTACTAAATATACTACTAAATATACTACTAATATACCATCTAAAATTTTAGATTAAAAATCTTCCGCTATCGGAAGAGTTAACTTTACACAAATAAAAAAAAAAGAAAAAAAAAGAGAAAAAATACTCTGTCAAAATCGAACTGAAATACGCATTTCATTATTTGAACATTCGTAAATTTTCGAACGAAAGTGAAGAAGTTGTTCCGAAGAACGTGTTATTCCGTTATTGTTTGCCAAGGTCAATAGTTTTACTTCAGGTTTTAACTGTGAGGAACAGACCATTCCGAGAAAGCATTATGTCGGCCAGTCGGAGGTGGCGTATCTAGTTCTTCATCAAACTGGAAGTCTAATTCCTCTCGTTCCTCGCTCTTGCTCTTTTCCGCCTTTTCTTTTTCTTCGGATTTCTCTTTATGCGATTGTTTAGGTTTTCTCCTCACCTACGAATACAATTTGTTTTCGCGAATTTTTTTTTTTTTTTTTTTTTCAAGCACTTTTTAGAACTTAAAAGAATTATTATTTAAAAAATATAACAGGAATAATGACCTCTTGCCAAGCATTGTCGCTTGACGAATCTGATTCTCCGTTTATTTGTTCTCCTGCTAAGCTATTCAAAGTGGAAGAATCCGTTGCATCTGCTCTATTATCTAGCTTCTCAGGAAGATTGTTGTTAGGATGAAAAGGCGTCGCTATGCTATTTGTCAGTTCGGAAGCGTCTTCGTTTGTTTGTCCAGAATTAACCGCATTCTGTGTTTCATTACTTTCATCAGCGAGATTACATTTATGTAAATCTGTATTTATCCGAAACAGTTTATCAATCTCGTCGAGTTCGTCGCGTGTATGCGGCGGAACAAATTCGGGTACGTCGGGATTTAAAAAGTCTTTTGGCAAATCGCTTTCTATTCCATTATGATACGCCACATCCTCAATTGCTTGAACATTATTCCCCATCGAATCGATCCGATAGGAATCAAGAATGCGAGGAACTGGTGGAGCAGGTATCGTGATCAAAGGTCGTGCGGCGGGACGAAATATGACTTCAGTGGTTGAGACTTCGGGAACTGAGACTGGGTGATGTGAGATTTTGTTTTCGGATAACACGGATTGTTGTTCCGGAATACTCGACCCGACAACATTATCCGTAATAGGCCATCTTCTCGGACTGAATCTTGTCCTGATCTGAAAAACAAAGCGATTCAAAATTTAATCGCGAAGTTCGTGATGTCGCGTGCGAGAAGAAAACTCTTTGACGATTTGTATTTGATAAGTATACGTGTGAAGAGAGCACTTTCAAACTCCATTCATCGAGCTCGAGACAAGTTCTAATGGCGTTCGCGAAATCTCTTCCATTTGCTCTGGCACAAATCTCGCATCCAACACGCATATAAGTGCTTGTTAGACATTTCAGAGAAATGTGCTATGAAACGCACGTTTGATCGTCAAACACAACAGTATGTTGTCGTTAATGGTAAAATAGTACCTTGCATCCTCTACAATCGTCCCAGCCTTCGAACTGTAGTTCCAATTTATCGGATTCTCCGACTGCTTCCATCACTAATTCTAAATTTGTCGTTAGATTTTGCACACGTTGAAACGAGGCAATTAAATGCAAAGGTAAAAATCCGTCCGAATCCATTTTACGTCGAAGGAAGAAATCTTTCATAAGATTTTCTTCGCTGAAGTAATACTCTCTGCAAAACGAAAAAAAAATTACATTATTGTTGTATACAGGAAATGATGTGGATATTGAAAAATCACGTACCAAAAGGGGTACAAAGTATACAAAAGATAGAAAACTTACATTTGGTTGCGTACATATTCTTTTAGCGTAATAGGGTCTATATAATTCACATTATTAAAATAATAAGTTCCCATGAAAGGTATCATATACCCATCGCACTCGTATTTATGGGCCTGCAAAAGAGACACGTTACACCATTAAACGTCGTAACACAATACGCAAAATGACAATAATGCAAAAATTTCAAACGTTTTTCAGACTATCTTACTGCATCAGTATATCAGAGAGATTCCCTTGTTTTTCTAACATCATTAAACATAATATTATAATATTTTCAAATGAAATTAACAATTCAATTTCTTCAACATTGATCGACACATTACCTGCATATAGTCCGCGTTGTAATTAGCGTATTCATTATCCTGGCGATATCTAAAACTGCCACGATTACGACCGCCTCTTCCTCTACCTCTGTAACTTCTGCCTCCTCGTCCTCGTTGATAACCCGTCGATCTGTCATAACTTTTTTCGCGCCAATGCTCGTCGTCATTCACCTCGCCGTTCCTATCTCTGTAGTTGTGAAATCTCGACGAGCGCACAGTCCCGCGTCTCTGCGCCAGATCGATCTCGAAAGGAACCCATTTGTTTTTATTTGCTTTCTTTTTCTTTTCGCCGTTGTCTATCTGCTCGTCACTATCGTCCTGGCAGTGATTTGGATCCTTGCTTTCTTTGCTTGTTTTGTTTTCGTTAGCGCTACTCTCTTGCTTGGACGTGCTTGGTTCACCATTCAACACGCCATTTTGCTTCGGAGGAGATATCGTTGCTTTTTTCTAAAATATCGAGAATTATCGAAAACTTCAAAAAAAAAGAAAACACTTAAATCAACACACGGCACACAATTACAAAACGGTCAAAGAAGAAGATAAGAAAAAGTGACGTTTGTACAAATGCTCAACATTTCTCAGGCGATAAAAAGAATTCTCGCCTGAGATGAACTCAACATTCGACATTTTATCTAGCAAAAAGTCTACACACTCGCAGATTTGCCAAAGGAATTGTCTGCAAGATCTAGCTTTTGCATGTTTCCCTACCTAGCTGTTTAGTCACAGCTAATAGCTGACGTCGTGACTAATGCATTGTTTACAGTAGTCAGAAAAAATGGAAAATTTATCTTAATATATGTGTGCGTAATGTACATTACAATTCATTATTTCTTCTGACACTTATCGCTGTATTAAGCTTACAACAGTATTTTTCTTAAATCATGCACACATGTATCAAATTAGTCACACAAAGTTAAAGATAATAATTAATAAAGTACTTAATTATTTACAAGTATACTTAATAACGTGACATATATATACGCACCTCTGCTTGTGTTCCTAAAGTGGGCCAGTCTCCCATGTCAGTAATATTGTTTGCCTGTTACAAACAAAGTTAAAACGTATTGGAGATCTCGTTAGATCAGTAAAAACTGATTTGCAAGAAAAACTCTTCCGAAGGCTAAAGTCGAAACAATACATCGGAGCGACACAAAAAATAATAGACCTTCGTTACATACACGTACAGATATTTTTACTTATTAAAAATGAATACATATTTCATGCATATTTATTTATGACACAATGTGTACAAAAAGCAAACAAGTGACTGAGTATGACTTTTTCAAACAAATGTAAACGTTTTAGACGAACGAGGAAAGTAAAAAATACGTACGCTTTGAATGTTTCTCCTCCTGTCTTTGGGCGGTCTGATAATTGTGGGTTGGGCACCGCCTTCGATACCATTTTCTGTAAACATAAAAAAAAAGGAAAAAACGTAAAACTTTTGTTACGCACAACTTATTCCGCACGATGTGATTTTCGTTCTGTGTTTGACAACACAGAACGACACTCTCTCTCAAAAGTTAATCGAATGTGATACAAAAAAAAATCGAATAATTAAAACACCGCAAAAGACAAACACATGCAAAAGTAACAAACCGGTTGCAATCGCGAAAGGTTGAACTAACACGGGATTCGTTACGATGTGTGTCGCGCGTCTAGCTCGCGTTGTAAAAGATTTTTTTTCGAGATCGCCAATCCTCTCACTCGCGATCAAATTTTATATTTTGTAATCAAACCGCGCGACCTCGATTAATCTTTTATCGCGCGCGCATGTGTGTTTCTTGAATATTTTTAATTTTTATCTGGTAACATCCGACGTCACATCACAAGCACACACACACACACACGCCGCAAGAAGAAGAGAAATGTGGAGCGACCGCGCAATGTGCGCCAAGAGAGAAACAAAAAGAACGATCCAAAAGACGCGATGGATTTTCTTTTATTTTTCAATTCGATTCTCGCGTGCAGTATTGTTTTCGACGAGACAAGACATTTTTGGAGTCATTTTTCGTCCGTCGTCGGCACACGCTCGCAATAAACGTCGGTTAGGAGACAACGCGAGGCGGGACGGGAAGAGGAAATCATATAACCGCGCTCTTCGTGCGATTTCGAGCACGGCAAGGCCGCATTAAAAAGTAATAAAAAAAAAAAAAAAGAAAAAAAAAGATATATGTAAAATAATATGCGTGAATAATCTGAAAACCGAAGCGATAAATCGCCGTCGCGTATAAAGTGTATACACGGACAGCTATACACGCGAATAACGAATTTAAGTTATATATACATATATATATCGCAATATGTACGCGTGTTTTCGCTATTCGAGAGCGTGTCTCACTTGCGAGAATTACGATTGCATACAGTTTTACTCAATTTGCTTTGCGCTCTTCTTATCTGCTCCGTTAACTGTAATCGCGCTGACGAGCTTGCGAATCGCCATCAAAAAGTTGCACACGCGAAATAAACCGAATAAATTCTTCCACGCTTGTTTTTATCCCGTATTGCTCCCTAATCATCGCGTTCATTCAAAAGAATTATATAATCAAAGCCACGTTTTGTACATTTGTATGAGAAACCATAAGGCCCCTCACATTTTTTCTTACGTTTTCTCTCAACATGATTTTTCACAATTTTGTAATCGAGTTTAGGGAATTCAAACACACAGGAGTTCCTGTTCCCTCCTCTTTCTAGAGCGGCAACATAAAGCGAGTAGAGATTCCACGGCTTTTGCCCGAATTAAATTTTTTGACGGCGGAGATCGTTTATTCTTGTCTCATTGCCAGGAAATCTCTGCGAATGTTTTGATGTTGCGACATCGTAATCGAGGTAAACTGCCTCCAAATCGTGGGAATCGTGGGCGTCGAGAAAACAATAAACAACCGATCACTATTTTTTTCTCAGAAGAACAAGCGCAAAACAAAATATTTTTCGTTGAAAAAAAAAATAATATATGTATTTGATTATATAATTGTTTGTTTGTGACCTAAGAACTGGTAGTTCTTATCGACGAAAGATGAAGACGTTCAAGAGAAGTCGTCTTTTGAGATGCGTTTGCAGCGCGCATGTCACGCGTATTAAAAAAAAAAAAAATCAGTCGATTTTCATGTCTGTCTGACATAACGTAAAACCGCGATAATACATGTGTCACGTTGTGACACGATTTATCAACACATTGACGTAGTTCTGTCACGACTGAGTAATAAAAATCTCTCTTATCAAATATTTATAGAATATCAAAAGTTTGACGTTTTTTTGTTTTACTTTATATATGCGATTATTTAGAACATACATATGTACTGCACAAACTTTAACGATTTAGTTGAGTCATAGATAAATATAATGACCGATTGTGACATACGACGAGTTTTTCTAGTGACAGCAGATAAAAAGGAAACGAAACACTTTTGAACGAAAATTGTAGAAAGACGCGATTCGCAAAACTAAGGAAAATTAAAGTAATTTAAACGACGATATAGAAGTTAGAGCATTAAAGATGTAAAAACCAGAACGAAGTTACTGTCTCATTTATCAGTTATTATATAAAATCATTACCCCGCAATGCTTGTTGTAATATTTACAATTATATAATCATTATATGTGTATGTAACGTGGGTTATGTTTGTGTGTTCTTTTTTTACATCTAATTAGATTGTTGTTTGATAGATGGCAATAATCGCTCGGTATGTCTAAGCATTGTAAACAATCATAGGAACAGTGAAAAGAGACACATTTAACAACACGAGAACGAGTTAAAAACACTCACGTCTAGGAACAATATTTTTGCCATCGTCTATCTTCATCATGTCGATCGCGCTTGGCGCCGTCGCTAAATCAAGTTCAATAATCCGATTCGTTTTGCTTCGTATCGCACGCAAATTGCAATTCTAATTAAATTGTGACTTTAATTGCGTCAGCAAATGAGGACCCGATAATGAGGAAGCGAAGAAAGGGAGGGGAAGGGCAACGACGATGTCACGCAGAAATCGAAAAAACTTCGACAACTTGATACATTTCGACGATGCGAGACGCAGATGTATCGCAGCTGGCGACCGATCAAATACGAACACACGACGACGATATCGCGACCCGGCAAAGAGAACTTTTGATTCGCACAATAAAATAAAACAGAGATTTAAGTAATTTTTCTTTAATCGAGCCTTTTTTATGTCGCGAGACAGTAAAAAGACCCGATGAAAAAGTTTACATCTTCTTTCCCCTCCCGAGATATACTTGAAGCCTGGGAGGGGTGATTATGTGACAATTGTTCAAAAGAATCACCTCGAAAACGTCGCGAATGATATTCTTTATCTCGCGATCGACATAGCGCCAAATGCTGTAATCGCGATCGAAGGCGCAAATTCGAGCGTCGAAAAGCCACTGATTGTCGACTGGCTCAAGAAGCGAGTAGTCATCGTCGACGACGTCGGAGCTGTTCGCAACGAGAACTCGAACATTCCCGACTAGAGCTATTAGCGCGTTGGCCAACAATCTCTATTCTCGAACATTTAAAATCTGTTCGTTTCAGCTGTTTTCTTTTTCTTTTTTTTTTTTTTAATTTATATGTAAATTAAAATAAATTTCAATAGAGAGAAAAAAAACTAAAAAGACAATAATACAAAACGTTAATATAGACAACATAAGAACAAAAAAAATCCAAAGATGCTATCGTTTCCCGACGACAATGGACGAGTATTGAAAATTTGCCGCGCAAAACACTTCCGCAAAAGTTCGAAAGAAAAAAAGATATCGGACGATTAATTGAAAACAATTGGGAATTTCTTGTTGCTTGATGTGTTTACTTGGGGGACGAAATCGCGGAAGGTGTTCCGACAGTTTGATCAATTAGTAACCAAGCAACGCGACGTTATTAAAACCGGCTAACGATTACACGTTTTTCTCGGCGGGTTCGAGAAACAAAAGTCCCATCGAGAATCGCTCTTAATCACAATCTTGAAAAATAATTTTGTCACCGATTATCAAATCGTTTCGATTATCGCACCTCTTGCACGATGAAAAAAAAAAAAAAACTACGTCTTTTTTCGCCTCGATATCTCTTGTTGTGAGATTGAACTCTCTCGACTCTACTTACCTCGAAACAATGAAATTACATTGTACAATATATTTTTTCGTTCATTATTGATTTTTTTGTTTTTTTTGTTTTTTTGTACCTTAATGCGTCGACTTCGAATCTATGACACGAGAAATTTTCGCTACATATGTACGTCAGGATTTCAAGAGACATCGAGACAAAAACAATCTTGAAAGTTACTACTACTTTGACATCTTATTATTCGGTGACAAGACAAAAGTGGCTCAAAAGATTCATTTAAAGACCAAGAAAGCAAGACAAAATTTGTTCGATTTATTGTAGACAAGTTATTATAGAGACTCGAATAACGAAAATTGTTTTCCCGATTGCATCATCTGTTCACCAAGAAACAAGAGACGGAGAAGAAGCCGAGCTAGCTGCAAATGTCTTTCAAATATTCTGAATAGAAAACAGGATGTATAAGTTCATGTCACATGCACGAAAAGACGGAGAAACCAAGGAATACAAAAAAAAAAAAAAACTTGTTTTCTTTTCACGTACACATACTCTTAGAAAAAATATTGCAACTTCGACTGTTTAACTTAGTCGTATTTACATTTGAAACGCTGTGAAGAATGTTATGCAAATTACACAATTTTCTTCAACTTTTTTCACGTGGTCTATAAAAAAATAAAAAAAAAATAAAAAAAAAAAAAAAAAAAAAAAAACACCGTCAAACGCGGACGCAGAGATATTCCTACGCTCTCTAAGCACATCTTATCGCGTTAATCCTCTCTTGTGACTCAATCTCCAATTTGTTTTTTCTCGGATTTCCAGCCGAGCGTTTATTAATCAGCGTAATCTCTCGGCTGCTCCGCGTATCGACGACGCCTTTCGATTTAACGCCGCTTGTCTCTCCCGGCAGTACCTTGAAACGAACGGAATCGAAAGATATTTGCCGATCGAAACGTTCTAAACCCGCCTATCGCGGCGACAAGCCTAGCAATCCGACCAACGTTCCCGAAACAGGTTTCCGTTCGCGCGACTCTCACTTTCCGCGACATATTTTAAATGTGGATCGAAACGAGCGTCAGAGCGATTGGTCAATTGCGGCTGTAAAGGAGTCCAAGTCCACATTCTTCAAGTAAGAATCAAGTGCGCGCCCGATTCTCTCTCTCTCTCTCCTCTTTCTCATTAAACATCGCAGGCGATTTTCGTGCGAGGACTTTTCGTACCAACTGCGTCGCGCCAAATGACAGACAAATCCGAAACAAATGTCATTCCCATGGAAATGGGACGAGAAGAAAATTATCTCGTTTAATTTTCGAGACCACGCTTTCCTCGACCATTGATTCGACGGAAGAAACCGCCGCGTTCGTTTTACTTTCTTTAATGTAATTGAAATAAATTCTAAAATATAAAGAGATTTATTACACGGAGTTCACTTGTATGAAACGAAAAAAAAAACACGCAAAAAAAAAAAAAATCTAATCGAAAAGCCGCAAAAAAAAAAAAAAAAAAAAAAGAAAGAAATCTAATCGATGAACCGCAATAAGCCGGATTCGATTCCGCGGACGAAAGTGAACGTTCGTGTGTGCATACGCGCGAACTATTAAGTAACACGCGCGCCTATATAAACGTTTTCTCTCGTAACAGCGTCGTCGTCGTCTGCCGCGACTAGCGGGGCATCATCTCTTCTGCAACACAGAAAGAGTGTCAATGTCGTTGCCCTTGCGGCATTCTCTCCCGTGCTACTTTGCGCGTCCGTACGAACGGAGAACAAATGGGGCAATTTACCGGATCGCGGATTCGGCAAATTCAGCGTCCGAAAATCGCGCGACGACGAACGACTGCGCGCGTGTCGTGTTGTCATACATACGCGGCGCGTCTGTCGTATCGAAAATATGCATCATCATCGTATATATAAAAAATTTATTGGCAGTTAACAAATAAAAATGAAAGAGAGAAGAGAGAGAAAAAAAGTGTATGTTGCGTGCAGCATCTCTAGATTGACTTTTGCGTTACATACGCGAACTATTCACAAGGTACAAGGTACGCGCGTGTATCTAAAGAAACTCGTTTCGATGGAATGCAACATCAGGTGTTTTCGCGCGGACGAAAAAACACCTTGTGAGACGATTTGTTCCCCGCGAAAAGTCTTTCGGTATGCAAATATAAAATTGCTGAAGGAGAACACGGTCGGTTTCGTCGCGCGCGCCAGCGATTCATTGGACATTTCGGTGCCACGTACGTCTGAACTGTGTGTTGGCAAGATAAAGTTGCCTCCTTCCCGCCCGATATCACGATATTACCGAAGTATGTCTCGGCACGAAACCGTCGCCGAAACGACAGTTCACTCTTTGCGCACGATTATTCACGCGCGCAAAGTTCCTAAAAAAAAAAAAAAAAAAAAACACACAAGTTTCACACTCTCCAAAATTATTTGCGAGTCCCGAACTGAAATCGTTTTTTAAAGTAAGGTCGTATTTGAAACGAATGGTAAGCTAGCTCCCTAAAGGGAAAGATATGAAAACTATGCATATGAAGATTTTTCGAACGTTCATGCATTTTTGGAGTCTTTTTCAAAAGAAAACGAGCACTCGAGCAGTACGTAAAAATACGCCATGTATTGTCTACTTTGTATAGTATTTCACGACTCCTTCTGTGAACGAGACGCGCGTTTCTTCTTTTTCGATTTTTCAACTCTCACACACAACACACATCTTGTGTGCGCTTCTATTTTCACCCCTCGTTTCGTAATCTACAAACCTCCCGCGCGGTTCCGAGACGCTTCTCTCGCGATCCGTTCTAGCAAGCGCGCACATACATGAATTTTTTGGAAGTTTATCTTCGAACAAAACACCATAGAATCCGAGCAGCGATAACAATTGCGCAAGCAATCAAAACTTGATCTCTTTCGATCTTGCGCGCAGAAATATTGAACACAATTTTTTTTTTAAATACGCGTGGAATATTCTGTTGAAGCTTTCTCTTTTAATCTTATTTATATATAATATTGATATCAAACACAAACACGCAAACACAAATTGTAGAGTTCTGATAAAAAAAAAATAAATAAAAAAATTAGTAAAAAAAAGTTTACTCGGTTAATCTTTGATATAAAATCTGTATACCGACAATTCTTTATCTTCACGAATTAAGACACAATTATCGATATGTAACGAGAAAACTCGAAAATGTGTCACAAGGAGAGATGAAATTCGTCTGATGAAATTCGCGCGCGGTGAGAAAGGCGTGTAAGAAAAAAAAAAAAAAGAAAAACACAAATGTTCATTCTCTTCCGTGGTACATGTCGCGCGCGCTAATCTATTTCTAGACAACGCTTTCCGTGAAATCGGATATATTACGTGCACACGTCTCAAATTTCACAATCAACCACCTTAAACCAAAGTGTAAGATCTTAATCAAAGAAACGTGCGCGCGCGCGCGCGCACACACACACATGTAACGCAGATAAAGAATTATATAATCGAAAATAGTCTCGTTAATAACGATTATCAAGAAGAAAGATAAGAGAGAAAGAGAGAGAGAGAGAGAGAGAGACCGAAGTCCAAGTGCAAGATCGTGCGTGAAATTTATTACCAAAGTTGCACACACCTGTAGCATGTTTGACAAAAATATCTTTTCCAAAAAATGTACCGGATAATATTTTATGTTCGAGACGATCAATTTTTAACGTATAGTTTTAAACTCAAACTTTTCAATACAAAAAAAACAATGAGAGAAAAAGAAAAAGCAATGCACGCATAGTTAAATAACGAAAATAGGAAACGTACATATTTCTTTTCATAGTATTTTTATTTGCTTTTATTTTTTTTTTTTCACAGAGTATTTTTCTTCTTCAATTTTCAAACAATTATTCCAAGTTTTTTTCATCCATCATTCGTCGTTACCTTTCTTCTAGAAGAAATGATAAATAATGGACTCACAAATATGCTTCATAAATCTTAAAATCTTTTCTCTTTTCTTCAGGTAGCAAAAAAAGATTCTATAGATTAACAAAGAATAGAATTCCATAGATTCCACAGACGTAATTTTTCGTTTTGTAGTTATTCTTTTGTCGTGTATCTGATTTTTTTTTATAAATAGCTTGAACGGATGTTTGTTTTTCAAAGTAAAATAAGCTTTTTTTGAAAATTGAAAATTGACGTTTCAAAGCAATTTTATGTATACAAAAAGAAAAGACAAGAAGAAAAAAATATATATATATATATAATATATACATTATATAACAGAGAAACGTGTATATAGAGAAATATATATTATACATATTATATTTAATAAAAAACAAAAACATTGTTCAACATACCAGCTGCATTTTGCTGCTGCTGCTGCTGCTGCTGCTGTTGCTGCTGCTGCTGCGGCTGCGGCTGCGGCTGCGGTTGCGGCACTCTCCTCTCCTTCTCACTTTGTCTATTAGTGCATGCACTCGGAACACTGTCTTGCTGTGTTGTCGTCGCGACAACTTGCTGCTGTTGCTGCTGCTGTGTGGATATCCTATTTTTCCAAGGATTAACCGACGGCAAAGGCGCTTCGACATATTTGACCGACGACGACGGGGATGTCGATTGAACCTCTGTCTCGACACTTTGCTCGTCTCTTTTTCCATCGGGATGCGACTCTTTCGTACCGTGATCGGCGATACCGTTGCGGTCGCCGCGCTCCCTATGCGGTTTATCGTCGCTGCCGCGTCTGCCCCCGCCGCCGGTTCCGACGCCACTGGCACCACGTGGTTGCTGCTGCTGCTGCTGCTGGCGACTGTTATGTTCGCGCAGCCGGTGACGCTCCCTGTAATTCTCGCGATAGTGCTCGCGCAATTTCTCCTTACGACGGGCGCTTTTAGGAGCGACCGTCTGAAACTCACCCTCTCCGTTACTGCTGTCCACGTTGTTCAGCTGATTTGCATTCTCGCGGTCCACGTTGCGAGAGCAATCAAGCGAATCTCTGTTAGCGGTAGCGGTGCTGTTCGGTTTTTCCGCACGCACGCTCGGCATACTCGACGAATTGTTCACGTAATGTTCGCGATCACCACGAGAGTTCTCCGCACCGTTGCTCGACACAGACTGATTTGTTGTTTTATTAACCGAATGCACCCGCGACAATTTTTGACAGGACTTTCGGTCGACACTCGAGACCAGTCTTTCTTTCACGGAACTCGCGGTCTGTTGCTGCGCTTGCTGCGGCTGTTGGTGCTGCGACACCGACGAATCGACTATGTTCTCCTTATTGTTGCTCTTGAAAGCACCTGCCCGACTCTGAGAGCTACCCTTCGGGTTTAACACACTGGCGTAGGACTGACACGGCCCCGCCTCCTGCCTCTCACTGGCGCTCCGAGCGCCACCTTGGTTGGCAAGCTTGGCCGCCATCTTGCGGCGCGCACGCTGTCGGGAGGAACAAAAACACGAGGTCCGCTCTGATCGCGGCGCTGAGGAAGCACGATGATCTTCTCGAGACTCGCGGAGAGACGGATGTCACCGTCGTTTCCCGAACACCACGAGACGTCGCTCTCTCGCGAGGGCGCGATCCGATATATCTCTTCCCTCGTTCACGGAGAATCAAAGTACAAACAATGACTCGCGAACGCGACAGGGCAAACTAACCTCGTTCGCGTCCTTGCTACGTGCTCTGTCCCATGCTTGAGAGGGAAAGGTTAGTCGGTCGTTCTCTTCGACGCGAGGACAGCACGACGGCGAGATACTTCGGAGCGGTTACGGTCCGAAGACTTCCGCTCCGATAAGCCACACACGTCGGTCGTGTTCGGATTCTTTCTGGAAACCACGCGCGTGGCACGTACGCACACATATGCCGGGAGAGGAGATTCACTCAAAGCGGACAAAGCACACACACGGGCTATTACTCTTCGAGATCTTCTCTTCGCGACATCCGAACGGGTGTTTCGACGCGAAATCGCGCGTAACAACGTTGTTGCGAAAAATTCTCTTTCGGATTTGCGTCTATCCGTGCGCTTTCCGGCGTGGCTCGCGGAGCGTGCGCTGACTCGGCGCTTTTGCACGCGACAAATCTTACCGGCGCGTGTGTGGCGGAGCGACACCGCGGTATATATATATATATATTTATATATATATATACCACGCGACAATTACGAAAATAACGGCGTCGCGTGTCGCGAAACTATAATACCCGGCTGGCGTACGGTCAAGCGAAGTGCGGTGCGAACGCGCACCATACGCGCGACTTGTCGCAAGCAGCGCTACCGTACAAGTCGGGCACGCAACTGCTGCCTCGGTCTTCTCCGGCACACACACCGTTCCGGGGGTCTAAACGCACTATTTATCACTGTATGTGCCCTGTGTTCTCGTGTTGTAATTCGCGACGGAACGTCACTCGATAATGCCGCGAACAACTCCCGCGCTAGATTCCCTGCATGTTCTATCAGCACCGGCGTAACATCGTGTTACCGCGGATTACGTAAACACGGCGCATTTTCGCTGCAACTTCCCACGAGGAAACGGATGCGTTACCACCGAGAGACATGTGGCCAGTGCTGCGATGCCTCGGCGAATTATACGAACGGCCGCCCGGCTTCCGGTTTGATCGGATCTCACACCGCGCGCCAGATGGCGCGTCCGAACTTCCTGGATGTGACGGTGAATTTCTGGGGTATTCGCGCGGTGTCGCGATTGGTCGCCGTGCGACGACCGTGAGTTTCCTATCTTTGACTTTTGTTTTTTTTTGTTTTTTTCATGGATTTGCCGACGGAGGCGCACATTTTTCAAATTCAAATACGTCCTGCCGAGATGGCAAACACCCCCTTCTCCTTCCCCGCAGTCGCGTCATTGCCGTATTATTCTTTTTGTCCGAATTTTTCGATCGACCGTCGCGAGCGGACTCTTATCGTTGGAAAACAAACTTGGAACGAAGAAGATCGCATCGGACAATTAATCTCTGACTTGGGTGAATGTTTATTAAAACCAAACAAAAAATAAAGTAAAAAAATCACAAGTAGCTTGACGCAAGCATCTCAGCGAGAAATGTCGCGACGGCCAACCGACCAATCAAAAGTGAGTTAATTTTTGCGAAAAGATTTTTTGTTCACTTAAAACCAACTTGCTCTTCGTTTTATTCTTCATGTGTATATTTAATATTTATATATGCATCTTAACAATATATTATCACTTGTTTCATACATCGATGTATTGCATATTATGGCGTATTCTACGTATCACATTTTTCTATACAAATCAGTGGTGTATATGAATCTTTAATTACTATTTATCAATGGTGTAAAGTTTTCGTCAGCTATACGTCAGTCGGCGTACGTACATTATACTAATGTGAGCATTGCAATTATCGTATTTGCAAAAATATACTCTGGAAATTATTATATAAATCTATACAAACGTAATATATATATATGAATACAAAAAAGACCTAATTTCAGCTATATATGTTATTTTACGTAGGAACAGTATTGATACATGTATGTATATATACATATATATATATATACATATATATATATGCACATCATATATATATATATGATATTAATATATGATATTAATTGTACATTGATCACACTGGTCTGCGATAATTTCGTCAACATTTTTTTTTTGAGATAATTCTAGAAATAATTAAGACAATTGAGATAATTCTGATAAACTCTCCAATTTGTCGTTAAAGTTTTACGCTAAAAACAGAAATCAAGTAAGAAAGAAAGATGTGTAAAACTTTTTCTTTCTATCGTCATTACTCTTGTTTGTGAAACCTTATCACGTAATTATATGTGAAATTGTTTGGAGCGCCAAAATTTATATAAAAATCATTCGATTCGCGCGCGCAACTATCACAAGATTTTAATTCGCAGACCTAATATGCTCTACACTCGTTGAATTGACTTGCGATTGTACTCTCTCCTGACAGATTATTATTAGTCGCACTGATGTAAAATTAAAACCCGTGTGTATCCGTGTGTGCTTGTGAAATCGTTAACATTACGATCAGTCATTAAACCGGAAAGTGCATCACACATACACACTATATTATTATCTAATTTACAAGAGAAGTTTGATCTTTTAAAACAACTTTGTACAAATTGTTGTACAATCGCGATCATCAAATAACTTCATGATGCTTCACATGATACTTCTTCAAAGATCGCTGAAAGGATTCGGCTATTGTTGATCTGAAAATGCAAAATACGCATATGTCGCGTTAGACTTCTTTATATTGAGAGATTTGTGTGCAAAAATTAGAAAAGTAAATAAATAATGTTTACCTAAAAACTTTTTGATGAAGAAGGTAAGCGCTAACGTGACCGGCGTCGATGTAACGAACTTCAGCCCCCGGCCAGATGGTTTCGAGGCTCATGCAATGATCACGCGGCACGTAAGCGTCGTCTCTTGCGCATACGGCAATGATCAATTCGGTGTCCACAGGTACTTCGAAATTTTTTAAATGCGTGCACTCGTCCATTATACCCCGCATGAATTGCAGCGCCTCGTACTCGCGCCACTTGTTGTCTGAAAACAGGGGATGCTTCGACACTGGCAATAAGCAAACTCCTGTTACAGGAAGAAAAACGATCACAATAAAATTATGCTTACATGCTGTTTCTATATAGACAGTCACAAATGCGAAGGCAATAGAGAACAAACACATCTGAATACATTCAAACTTTTAGTTTCATTGCTAGAAAAATAAAACTAAACTGTACTACTTTTTAATTTGTTTCTTTTTTACACTTATATTATTTACAACGCGTAACATAATCAACGAGTTACCATACACAGCTGAAGGATATAAAGGAAATAAGTCATATGAAAGCATATATATATGTATGTATATATATACATACACACACACACAAACTTACCTTTAAGAGCATTGGGATCTTTTGGTTTGAATCTGTTGGAAATCAAATTTAGAGGAAAGATTTTAGCCGCCGCTTTCTCTTCTGCGATCTGACGTTGCAATTGGCTATTTTCATTTTTAGATTCGTACTCAGTCGAAATATTATTGTCGTTACCATTATTGGTAGAATTTGTACTATTAACATGAAATTTATTATTGTCATTGTTATTTTCTTTGAGATCTTTTTGTAGCTTATCGACTCTCTTCATGCTCGCAGGATAATGCTTCGCAAAATGTTGGCCGGCTAAGAAAGCGTCCTGAAAGTAATTTAAAGTAGAATAAAAATGTAGAATAAAAATACGAGAAGAAAATTTGCTAACAGAAGACACTCCAAATATTTGATATATTTACATCAGGATCAATAATTTTAACCATTTTTGCGAGAACGTTCTGATATACTTTGTCCGAAAAGTATTGTGTCTCCAAAAGAGTCCAATTTATTGAAGCACTCATCACTCCTTCAGTGAATACAGGTGAAGCAGTTGACCACGACAGACAAGGTATCAACGATATCGGTTTTGGCCAGTTGGTAGCCGCTAAAGAAGCCATCTGCAGAAAGAACATCACAATTTATACAGTGAAGTGCTTAAAATATAAGAAAAATATTAACTGTGCACAAATATAAACTCACATGTCCACCCATTGATAATCCAGTAAGACCTAACGGGCCAAATCCTTGCTGTTCGCACCAATTTAACAAAACGATTGATTCCATTATCAGACAGCCCCCCATAATAAAAATGTCACACACATTGTGTAAGCTGGAACGTCTAAAACACAAAGATTGCACAGTGAAAGAAAACACTTGCAAGATATTGCTCGCCCGTACACATCTTACGCTTACAAACTTTTGAACATGTTCTTACATTTGATCATTTGGCTTTCTCAATCCATAAAATGGATTTTCCAGTAATATCGATCCTATCCCAGACTCTTTGAGTAGCGGTTTGGCAATGAGATTTCTACGTCGCCAAAAAAACTAGTTAATAAGGAAGATGTATGTAAATATTTTGATATAAATGAAAATAACACACTATAGTACATATGTAAAAGAAACAAAATTGATAGAATAAGAAGAATAGTAGTAACACTGACAAATACATACATGATCTCCTGTTCCTGCAAGATGTAAGCAAATTGGTTTTATCTTATAGGAACTCCACTTAGATGGTAAAACCATCTGAAAGTAAGCTGTTTTGGTTTTGTCTGGCATTATCCCTGGAAGATGCTTAGCAAAAGGTGATTCAAAGTGTCCTTCAATTATGTGGCAGTCTGACCATTCTTCATCCTACACAGAAACACATTTGCATATTTTATTTCACAAGTGCAGTTGGAAAAAAAATCACAGAAAATAAACATAAAAATATTCAATACTTTTGTTATCTCTATTGGATAGTCAAATGGTATCATATTGTAGCATGCTTCTCGATTTGCAATGACTTTTCTGAATTTAAAAATCCTGAAACAAAATGTCAGATTGAAATACTCTCATGTCCTAAACAAATAAAGTATTTAGCAATACTTTATATAAAAATCTCATAGAATTCTTATAGAATTGTAATTATATAATTATAATATTATATAATAAGAATTGCATGGAATTTATTTTACAGCGTTGCATTTAGTATATTGTAACACAAACTGATATTCATATATCGTCACTCCCTACATATAATCCCGTAACTCCAAAACGCAAATTTTAGAGGAGAGCAGTTTAAAAGTATAAAGCTTCATATGTTTCCCTATAGTTAGGGATCTTTCGGTTTCAAATTTGTACCTTATTTATGAATATTTTTTTTAATATTTGGTGACCATAAAGAACATGACTTTCTAAGTGTCACTATGCAATAAACTGAAAATCCCATATGTGACACTTATGTAATTATACGTAGGGAGTGACGATATTAACTGTAAATTTGTAATTCTAGACAAAATTTTGATGGCAAAAGATAAATATAGTACTTCACTTATAAATAATATAAAATGTAAACACTACTAATATAGAGGCGAAACAAACATGTAGATATATGTGAGAATATAGATATATATATGTGTGTATATATATATATATATATCTTATCACACAATATATTGACAATATGTTTGATGTACAGAGGTCTCCACACAATAACATTCAATACTAGCTGATATTGTTTTAACACTTAATTTACTCAAATATATATATATATTTTTTTTAAACAATTATATATAATAAATAACTTTTATACGTTGCATATGTTCTTTAGTCACGTATTTACTTGCTATTATTGGCAATTCAAAGACGAGATCCAAACAAAATATATACATATAGGGTAACTGTCCCTATTAGTGTGCTGTTAAGCAAGCGTGCTCTCTTTTTTGAATAAATACTCAATTAACTGACTTCAAATGAGCTTGCTCAAAATTTATATCGATTCTTTAAACTCTTCTTTTGACAATAAGATT